GTGTGTGTGTGTACAGCACCTGAGAGTTCTGCAGACTTCCAAAGGCAGAGGTGCCGTGCTGTTTTCTCTTTGTTCACCTTAATCACAGTCTGTAAGCTTCCACCGCAAACAGAAGCTCCAGGGCCCTCCAAGCCCCTGGTGGCCTCTGGAATTTCTGCATCACCAAAGCTGTCACCTCCCCGTGTGTGGGCGGCAGAACGAGCTCCTCCTATTACTCAGCTCACTATTAAGCAGGGCTCCTTGAGGAAGATTGATTTACCGCATTAAATGAGCCTCCGTGTGCTCGATGACGATGTCACAAGACAAACGGCCCCTGCCGTGTGCCTCCAGTCCTCGGCTCCACGTTTCCATCACATTTGAGCCAGAGTCATGGTGGATGAGTTTGGTATAGTTTATTTTCTGCCTGACACGATAAACTTGTCAGCATTTGACCGATCAGCTCCTTATATGAGGGAGTTCATTTGCAAGGCCACCTGGCATCCCCACTCGGCTGTCCTGCTCCCATTTTACTCTGTCTAATGAGCCAGGACCTGGTTCCTGTTGGTTGGCGCTGAGCTCCAGGGCCCTGCACAGCCAGCATGCCAGGAGTGATGGCTCAGCCTTCCCAGGAGCCCCCTCTCCTGTCTGGAGGGGGGCGGGCACTGATGCCTGGGAAGTGATCCTTTTTTCCTGCCCAGCTGGGGAGGAGTGAGCCAAGCCTTCACTTTCCTACTCACAGGCTCTGTCAGGCCTGCTTCCGGTCCTCTGGCTGGACTCCTGTGGGGCTCCTGGGGAGCTGCAGACTTCCCACGCCACCTTGGCCCTGGAGCTGCACCTAGGTTTGAGCACCAAGGTTTGGGCAGACACCAGACCCAGGTTCTCAGAGATCACTGAGACATGGCGAACAGGTCCAAGGTGGGCTCATGGCCCTTGTCTGGCTCCGATCTCGTGCCCTTCCTAAGGGCCCTTCCCAAGCTGTTGCCAACCTAGACTCTCTGACCACATCAGCCTCTGCCCGGACCTGCCAGTGGCTCCCTGCTATGCTCCTCTGGGCCTCACTGTGAGTAGGGATGATAGCAGTGCCCACTCAATGTTCACCTGTATGAGAGCTCTGATTGATGCCTGGCACAGAGCAGAAGCTCAGCAAGGTTAGCTAACAACACCACTGTACTGTCCTGCCAGCCTCACCCATATCCTGCATGCCTTCAACCCTCCCAGCCCTCGGAGCCTGTTCTCATACAGTTGTCCCCTTCCTGACAAGCTTCTCCTTCCTCTCTGTGTATCTGAATCTGCCCCAGGCCTCCCCATGCTCTGAAGTCATTAGCCAGCCTGGGAGCCCAAAGGAACCCCAGAACGGCACATGGTGCAGGACCAGACAACATGGTAACTGGTCAGGCCACCTACTGGAGCAGAGACGGGTAGAGCTTGGAGCCGTGCAAAGCGTCATGAATCCCTTCCCATTTCCTTCTCACTCCTCACTCCCCCGGGAAGCTCCATGCCCCCCAGGGTAGTGGTTTTCTGATCCTCCAGCAGCCATGGCCTTTCCTCTGGGCTCCCTCTCTGAGCTGTGCACACAGATCTCACCCTTACCTGCCCATACACTATCAAGGCCATTGCCAGTCATAGACATTGCCTGCCTGAGCTTGGGGCCCAGACCGCACCCTCTGCAAACTCATAGATGGGTGAGGGGACCAGTTCAAGGCTTCTGGGGCTGGACTGGCAGTGCCTGCTTGAGGCATGGATGTCTGGAGCAGGATGCACTGCAGAGTGACGTGCTGTGTGGTAGTAGACAGTTGTGTAGAGGGAATTGGACCGGCCCTGGCTCAGGTGCTGTGTGAGGCTGGCCTGGTGACAGAGCCTGGGCTCCTCATCTGCACTGAGCAGGTGGCACCAGGTGCGAGGCATCCTGGAGGGCAGGAAGTCTGTCTGGGCTTCTCTCCCTGTGCCAGGACACATGCCAGCGCTGTTAGAGGACTGGGAGCTGAGAGGGTTCCACAAGCGTGGCTTCGATAGGCAGCCTGGGAGAAGGACGCCCGTCCGGGGACAGCCTGTGCAGTGGTGAGGGGACATGTGTGCACAGGGGTCGAGGGCGTGGCAGGAGGCTGGTGTGCGGTGCATGCGAAGAGCAAAGGGAGGTGAACCCTGAGGGCAGCAGAGGTAGCTCTGGAGCCAGGCCTTGTATTTAGGAGTTTGGATTCTCCCTGGTGGGCAGGAGGAGCTGTGCTGGGTTGAAGGGTGACACGATGATTCCACCACACTTAAAACAGCGGGAAGGCAGGGCCATGGGCCTCATTCATCTTTAGCTCCTCAGCTTGGTGTTCAGGAGATTGAGGAGGAGAGCCTGAGGCCTTGTGGAAGGTGATGAGTCATCCTGGCCCCAAGGGAACAAGGGGCATCCTGAAAGCATGGTGCTCCCCAAACCCTCATTATTCTAGGAGGGAGGGTGGATGGCAGAGGGTGGCTGGTCAACCTCCTCCCCAGAGTGGAAGTTCTACTCTGAGGAATGGCTCCTTCCCCCAGAATTTTCAAAAAATGGGAGGAAGGGCATGGTTAGAGACTGGAATGCCTTTCACGGGAAGACATGTGGAAACTTCTCATGAACCTGAAGGGAGCCTGGGCAGGGTAGGGACCAGCACAGGCAGCCTTAGCATCTTGTGCCAGCAGGTGTTAGCAGAACCAGGGAAGGCCTAGGGATTACCTCACTTGAGGCCCACAGCACCAGCAGGGGAACTTGCCACAAGCCTGAGAGGAAGCAGCCCCAAGAGGCTAGGGCAAGGCCAAGGTAAGGAGGAGCCGACAGGACCTCACCTAGGACCGCTCCAGGGCCCAGCTGGGCTGAAGGAAGGACAGGCACGTTCTTGATGTGGTCCCTCACGGGCCTCATCGGCTGTGTGTTGACTCAGCCTCCCACTGCCTGGGACGGTGCTGTGTGCTGTCTGCGACCCACAGGCAGGGCCGGGCCGGTGAGTAGAGCCTGCAAGGAGACCTGGAGCCTGAGAGTGGGAGCTGCGTCTGCTCCCACACGTTCCCTTCAGAGGGCCATTCCAGTGACTGTGAGATGGTGGGCATGATTCTTGGCTTGAGGCTCTGGAAGAAGAGAAGCTCCAAAGCTGGGCCCTGAAAGGGGGAGGCCCGACTCAGCAGAACCCAGTGGGGAAGGGAAGGCACAGGAGCCGCGAGTGCAAGCGGCTGCACATGCAGAGGGCTGTGCACCTGGGCTCAGAACCAAGAGGCACAGAGAGGGGAAGCCATTGGTCAGGACCAGGGACAACCAAGTGCAGGAAGGGAGACCCCCATATTCCACAGAGAGAATGGCCTTCTGGACAAGCACCTTGAATTTAAATGCCTGCAGACCCCAGGGGTCTGGGTAGAGCTTGGAGCCATACAAAGCGTCATGAATCGCTTCCTATCTGTCAAAGCTCTACCTGTCAAAGAAGGGTGCATCTTCTCAGCTGCAGCTGATCCCTGCAATGTAAGAATGTGAAGCCAATGCACGAGACCATGCACGCAGGGTTACATATGGCCACTGGTGACAGGAAGCCACCATTACAGTGGTTTAAAAATAGAGGGGCCCTCTCACTTTCATGTGTGCCGGAAGTGATCTGCGCTGACGCAGGCGGCTGGGGCTCTTCCATCTTGCTGCGGGGGGATGGCCCTCACCCCCCAGGTCCCGGGTGCAGGCTAGAGCTCCAGTGATTACACCTGTGCTCCGGGCAGCAGGATGGAGGAAGGCGGGAAGAAGGGCAAAGAGCCCATGTCGGTCATCTCTAAGGAGGTTTCTTAGAAGCTGTCAGAAGTGCTTCTAGATCTTGCTGGGAGGACTTAGACACGTGGTTACCCTAGCGGTTAGGGAGGCTGGGCAGTGCTGCTGTACCTCTGGTTGCCGCTGGGCCAAGCTGAAAACCAGGTGTCCTGCGGCTGAAGGCAGCATGGGCATTGCAATATGCAGCCAGCAATCACACAGTCGCTGCCCTTGGCCAGTTTGTCTGCCTCAAACACCACCTCACCTTCCCTGCAGGCAGTCTCCTGGGACTCGGGGTGGTGATGGTGCAGCAGCCAGTCCGGAAGGCTGGCTCTCTGGGTCGTGTGCAGCCTCTCCAGGTCCTGGTGCCACAGCCCTGTGGGTGGTGTTGAGGGACACAGCCGCCACCAGGAAGAGTCCTGCCTGGAGAAGGGCCAGGGCAGACCATCCTGGTTCCCGGGCAGGCTTTGTGGTGGAGGAAGCTGCGGCAGCCCATCTGGCTGGCCTAGCTCTGCTGTGGGCAGAACCCCATGCCCAGTGTCCCGGGGGAGGTTCCAGCTCCCTTGGCAACAGGCCTCCTGCACAACTCGATGGCTTTTAATCTGTTTATCGTGATGAGTCCATTGGCCTAAAAGGGCCCCATGGGCTCATCTGGTCACAGGTTTAGGGCAGCCTGGCCCTTCCATCTGTTCCTGCAGTGACATAGCTGCAGAGGGGGCGGTAGAGGGGGGGGGGTGAGGCGGGGAGAGCAGTACCCTGGCTCTCTTACTTCTGACTTCCATGTGAAACAAACTAATTTTAAAATTCTGGAAAATAATGTTTGAAAAGCATAATTCAGGACAAATAAATATGCCTGTGTGGCAGATTGGGGTTGTGGTATGGAGCAAGGCGCTGTGGGTGGGGAATTGGCGCTGTGGGAGGGGAATTGGCGCTGTGGGTGGGGAATTGGAATTGGGGTTGGTGCTGTGGGAGGGGAATTGGCGCTGTGGGAGGGGAATTGGAATTGCATAGTCTAGTGTCCATGGAGAAGGCTCTGCACCAGCTTCGTTCACTTAGACAGGCAGAGCAGTGGCCACACATCTGGAGGCAGAACTGGCCACAGCTGGAGGGACTCTCAGACTGACTCCACAGCCCACACACTGGGATAGGGGAGGGGTCAGGACTGGCTCCAGGTCTGGGGGTCCGGGTGTGTGTCTGCCTGTGGAGTGTGGGGCGGTGCAGAGGGGGCCCCAGGCCCCGAGTGGGACAGGTGGTAAGTCCTTGCTTGCCCGCCCTGCAGACTCCACCAACCGGGACTCGCTGGACATGATTGAGCGCTGCATGTGCCTGGTGTGCCTGGACGCCCCGGCCGGCGTGGAGCTCAGTGACACCAACAGGGCGCTCCAGCTCCTTCACGGCGGAGGCTGCAGCCAGAACGGGGCGAACCGCTGGTACGACAAGTCCCTGCAGGTGAGCCGCCACCACGTGGCCAGTGGCCTGAGCCAGCACTGCTCACGTGGGGCAGACCTGCTGACCGGCCTCTGCTGGCCAGGATGCTGCATGCGGGGCCCAGGGAGCTGAAGGGGTTGGAGATGGGGCCTTGGTGTCAGCCCTGGACTGGCCAGGACTCCTTGGGGGCAGGTGGCCAAACCCCACTCAAGCTCAGCAACCTTCCTGCAGCCTGTGCCATGCCGGGTCCTCTGGGCAGCCCTGGGCTCTCTCCCCCTCCCACCACACGCTGTAAGGTGGCCATCTGCCAGGGCCCACCAAACAAGTCCTCAACGCATTCGACAAGGATCACATCTGATGCCCAGAGATTTCAGCATTTCTGAGTTTCTGTCCCCTCGGCCTGGCCGCCGGACACACCTCCTTCATCCCTGGGAGGCAGGGCAGCCCAGCATCTCCACAGAGGAAAAGCCAGAATAAAAGGAAGCAATTCCTTTTGTTTGTCATCCTATGACGTTAGCTCAGAAACAAGGCGCTCGCCGGGGCCCAGAGAAAATGCTCAGGCAGGTGCGGGGTGGGGGGGGGGGGCGGTTGGGCCACTCATTCCTGTTCTCACATCCCTTTTGCCCAGCATGCCCACCCTAAACTGAACCCTGCTTGTTTTTAAGGCCACCACACTGTCACCGTGACCTCATCACATAGCAGAGCGGTCTCTGGCTTCACGTAGCGAGCATTCAGGCTCGTTCTGTCCTCCTCCGCCTGCATGCCGCAGCTGCCCTCCTCGTGGGGGTGCCTACTGCCGCTGCCGCTGCCGCCGCGCCCTCCGCTGCGCTGGCTGTCAGCCTTCACGGCGATGCTAATGGCTCGCCTTCCGCGGAGCCGCGGGGGAGGGAAATGATATAATGGGTGTACAGGACACGGAGCAGAGGCAGGCGTGGCAGCGGTTGTTAAAAGGCACTGTTTGCTGCCTTTCTTTCAGTGGCAGGAACAGAAAAACATCCCTGTGTGAGTGGGAACCGTCCTCGCTCCCTGCCTCATGTGGGGACTGGACCCACCTCTGCGCTCTGTCCGAAGGTTGGACAGGTTACCAGGCCAGCCAGAGAGCTCCACTGGTTTCATGGGCAGGAACTGGGAGGACAGAGAGCATTCTTGGGACAGAAGGCAGGGCACGGGGTAGGGGGGGGCGGAGAAAAGTGGGGAGCTTTGAGAGACTCTATGCCGTGGAGTCTATGGGAAGGTGAAGACTGGGAGTGGAGATTGGGGCGGCTGACAGCTTGGCCCCCGGGGGGAGCAGAGACGGTGGGCTCGGTGTGCTGTGTGTGTGTGCCCGGCAGGGTCCAGTAGCTCGTTCGCTCGCCTGGCTGTTACTGCTGTAGGCGAGTGTCTCCAGAGTGTGGCCGTGTGGGCTGAGCTGCAGGCGGCCCTGCTTTAATTGGGTTATTTGTGCTTTCCTCCCAGTGTTTTTGTGCAGAGCATGTCCCTTTCCCATGTCAGCTGACTACAGCTTTGTAAGATCATGAAAATTCATAAGTAACCTGCCCAGTTCCCATGGTCCTCCCCTGTGCCTCCTCTGGAGCCTCATCTCAGTGCTGCACGCCAGCCTTGTCCGAGGCCATAGGCCAAGAGCAGACGGAGCCAGAGGAGGTGCCTGTGGCCTCTCCCGGCCACAGCCCTGGCCAGAGTGGAATCGGGTCCCTGAACACCTTTTCCTCGCTCCCACGGAGGGAGGTTTGATTTCTCCCCAGGATTCTGTGCACCGTCCAGACTGGAGTGTTTCCTTTCATTCGGCCATCCAACAAAGTCACTGAGCACGTACCATGGGGCAGACACTGTTCTAGGGCCTGGGCATAAAACCAGCTGTGCCCGAACACCAGGGCCACCTGGCACCCCTCACACAGAGTAGTTCAGGACGGTGTCCCTGCCACCGCTGTGAAGGGGCTCAGGGCTCACAGATGCTGAGGGAACGGGCCCACGACTGAGGCAAAGTGTGCCCAGCTGGTCAGGGCCCACTGGGACCCTGGGTCGCGCCTGCCCCTCCACAAGCGTTTCTGGGAGGGCGCACAGGCCAGTGCTGGGTGCGACGCCAGTCTCGGACCCTGGCAGCTGCATGCAGGGTTCTTTTCGGGAGTCAAGGGCCTCAAGAAGGGGTCCCCTGCAGTGGCCAGGGGCCCGGCCTGGAGCCGGAGGGCAGCTGTGAGATGCTGACGCCCAGGAGCCCGCTCACATCTCTTCCTTCACGCAGTTCGTGGTGGGCAGGGACGGCACCTGCGGCGTGGTGTGCGAGCACTCCCCGTTCGACGGCATCGTCCTGGTGCAGTGCGTGGAGCACCTCCTCAAGCACATGTGAGTCTGGAGGGAGGGCCCCCCGCAGCCCGGCACCACGACAGACTGCCCGGCGGCCAAGGGGCCCACGAAACCGGGTGACCATAAGGGGGGCTGCATAAGCCTGGACAGTGTCTCAGCAAAACTGGATTTGCAAACCAGCTTGAAAGGGGCATTTTATGCTTTACCAGCCATGGACAGAGGGACAATCCAAGCAACAGCGGGTTTAGGGCAGTTAGGGAGAGGCATGGCAACTCGTAGCTAATAAGAAACATCTTCAGTCCAGGGAGGCCCCATCCACTGCACTGTGTGCCCCGAGGCCCGGGTGGGCGGACTGAAGACCCAGCACAGAGGAAGGGCTGTAGCTACCCCTCCTGCCGTCCGTCGGCTGGGCGCCCTCCCTAGCCTTCGAGCTGGCCGGACTAAGGGCTTCGCTGGCCTTTAAACACACCGCGTTCCTGCTCCGTTTACGGCTTTGCTCCTTCTCTCCTTCTGGAACCTTCTCCCTGAATCTAAGTTCTAAACCTCTTCCATAATGTGGGGGTTCTTTAGGGTCACTGGAAACCTAACCAACCCTTGTAAACACAGCAGCCCAGTTTGTTTCAGTTTATCTCCAAATGTTTTATAATTGTTAGTGGCATGTGTAGTTAACAGGAAAATGCAACATAATAATAATAACAACAACAACAACAACAACAATAATAATATTTGGCTTTGGACTCGGGTGGAACTGGAGGGACCCTGGCCTGCCACTTGCTAGTCTGGGTGGCCTCTGAGCCTCACTCTCCCTCAGGCAGTGGCGGGCAGCTCCTGCCACTGCCCTCCGGCCGCTGGGGCGGGGAGGGGCGCAGAGGCCCCGAAGCTGCCGCAGCCCCAGCTCAGGCTCGGAGGCCCCTCTCTGCCTGCAGGATGAGCAGCAAGAAGCTGGTCCGAGCCGACTCCGTCAGTGAGCTGCCGGCCCCCCGGAGGCTGCGGTGGAAGTGCTCCCCCGTGATTCAAGGCTTCTTAGCCTCCTCGGCAGAAAAACTCCAGCGGTAAGGAAAAGCCGGTTCCTGTGGGGTGGTGCTCCGGGATTACCCCGTGTCCTCCTTCCTGTCCTGGCTGCTGAGCACCCTGAGGGTTCCAGAGGCCCCGCTCCTCCGCCCCACCCCACATGGAAATGCAGGCAAAGTGAAGGGGAGCCATAACTCGGGGGAAATGACCTTGCTGACGGACCCGTCATTTCCATAAAATGCAAACGCGCAGCTACTTTTTTCCAAGGGTTCCGCCCGCCTGAGCAGAGCCAAGGCGGGGACCCCGTCCCGTCGGAGGAGTAGTGAACACTGGTTTGAATAGTTCATTTGAATCCCAGCTACTTCCCTTTGCTTGAGTTTACAGGGCAACCTGATAAGGGAACTCCCGTTCCCAAGGGCAGTGCAGCCGCCAATGTAGTCTGTGCCAGGCCTGTGCTGAGACTCTGAGGACACAGGTCCCATGCCAGGCCTGCCCCCCGGATTCATGGGGGGAATGGACCCCCCAGCAAAGGTGTGTGATGCAGTCACCCAAACCCACAGGACACGGGGGCTGGATTCTGCCAGGATGTGAGGGAGGGCTATGCAGACAGGTCTGGCAGGATGGAGAGGAGTCTGTGCTGCAGGCAGCTGGGAAGTGGTGGGTTCATTAAAGATCCAGCAAGAGAGGATGGCCAGAGGCGGGAGCCACATTGTCCAGAGCTCTGCGCTCCTCACGTCACAGGCTGGACGCTGTGAGGAGCCCTGGAGGACTGTGTGCAGGGGTTTCCGAGAGCCAGGGAGGAGCCTGTGGGAACAGGGTAGGTGAGCTGGATAGACTGTGGCTGGACCCAGAGGCCGAGTGGTGGGGAGGACAAGTTAGCTCACTGGGAGCTGCTGGGGAGGTTGGCCCGCCTTCGTGGAGGAGGGGCAGTCGCTGTTCATCTATAAGGTGGTGCTGATATCTCAACCTTGGGCAGCCCTGTGGGCACAAGCAGAGCACTAGGAGAGCGAGCTGGTTGCTGAGCCCTGGGAAAGGGGAGAACTGCTCACTTTTAGGGGGTTGAGCAGGCCCGCTGGATCCTGAGGCCCCCAGCTGCTCTCTGGAGGACCTGAGGAGCCAGAGGCCCATGGGTGGGCAAACAGAAGGGTCCTGAGCTGCACACGGAAAAGAATGGGGTCCAAGTGGGCAGCGTCTGGGCAAAGGTTTCCAGGGGGCTGTCGTGACCGTGAGCTCAGCCTATGTGGGGCCGGTGAGTCAACTCTCTGCATTCTGGGGACTCAGAATGCAGAGCCCGTTCCCAGACGTTCCCGTGGGAACGGGCTCTCTGCATTCTGAGTCCCCAGACCTGGCGTGGCCCCACCGAGAGCTGAGCAGGAGAAAGTTCCCGCGTGGCAGGAGAAAGTTCCCGGGGGGCAGGCTGGAGCGCCAAGTCCAGAGGGAGCGAGTGTGAGTGGGGCCAGGGTTGCCCCCAGGGCTCTGCTGGCACATGGCTGGTGGGTGTGTGGTGTGGACCTTGCTGGTCTCTGCTCCAGGGGGCAGTCAGCCTAGACCCCATGTTCATTATGAAGGAGGAGATTGGTCATTAATGGGCAGCAGAAAGGAAGAGACCTGTGGCCACAGTGGGGGGCAAAAGGGAGAGACCTGTGGCCACGCTGGGGGGCAGGAAGGAGAGGCCAGCGCTCAGGGTTCAGTGTAGACTCGGGAACCTTCCTGCTGCTCTGACAATGACTCATGGGCATCAGGGGCTGGGTGTGGCGTGGAACGGCAGCAGCAGCCTCTGGATGAAATGGGTTTTAGTCACCGGCAGGCAGCCTTCGCAGCAGTGAGTGACCCTAGGCAACAGGGGTGCGTCTCAGAGAGGAGTGCTATGCGCCACCATCTGAGAAATGGGCTTTTCTCTGGACACAGAGGGTTTGTGTTCTGTCAGAATGGCCAGGATGCCAAAGGAATCCATGGGGAAGCTGGACACACCTTCCCAACAAGTCAAATGAATGGCCTCTCTCAGCCTTACTTCTGCAGAGCTGCCAAGATTGTGTTTGATGGCTGTGTCCTCCCTGCCATGCAAATGCCTCTCCTGCCCCAAGCCCCTCCCTGCAGCCAGGCCCATCTCCCTGCAGCCAGGCCCATCTCCCTGCAGCCAGGCCCGTCTCCCTGCAGCCAGGCCCATCTCCCTGCAGCCAGGCCCATCTCCCTGCAGCCAGGCAGGCCATCGTCCACCCAGCCACACCCCACCTTCAGTGGAGAGTGACCCTGGCCCAGCATGCCCAGGGCCACACTCCGTTCCTGCAGGCCAGGCACCATCCTGGACCTCAGAGTGCTGGCACGGCGCAGGCTCAAGAGACGTGGTGAGACTGGGATGTGTGCATTCTGTTTTGCATGAAATCAAAGCATCTTTTCTCTTTTCCTCAGAATAGTAAAGAATCTCGACTTCGTGGTGTATAAGTTTGACAGCTACGGGAAGACGTTCATTAAGCAGCAGAAGTGCAGCCCCGATGCCTTCATCCAGGTGGCCCTCCAGCTGGCCTTCTACAGGTGAGCCGAGCACCCGAGGCTGGCAAGCTGCTCTCACGCCAGAGTCTACAGCCTGGAGAGAGGAAGGCCTCTGGGCTGGAGGGTGGGCAGAGGGCAGGGCACCTTGGAAGGAGGTGCCGCCTAACTGGGTTTCAAGGTATCAAACCTCCTCAGGAGGGAGAAGCCTGTCCCAGCAGGGCGGGTGCCTGAGCCACGGCCAGGGGCACCGAGCGCAAAGGCAGGAACGAGCTAACAAGGCCAGGCCGGCAGTGGGGGACGTGGGGTGAGGAGGTGCACCTCCTCCTGAGCTCACCCAGTCCACCTGGTCCCTGTGGCTGCAGCATGACTCCCGTTTTTCTGGCCTCAATAGTGAAATGGAGCTAGCATCCCTCAAGGGGTCAGGTCAAAGGTTTAGGACTCAGCCTTGGTTCGTCCCTGTCTCTCGTCCCCCACCACGGCGGTTATTTTCCATGTGTCTCTTTGCCCTTCACCTCCACCCCGTCCACCTCCGTGGGCCCCTCCGGAGCCCCTGCCATCTCATGCTTGGCCAAGTGCAGCATCCTCCCTGGGCCTCTGCCTCCCACTCAGCTCTCTAGATCCTATCTTCATAAAGCGTGACGTTGGAAATATGCAAATCAGACTCTCTCTTATCACCTTGCGCCTTCCCAGTGGCTTCCCACAGAGCCCAGACTTAGAAAGCTCCTGTGAGCGGCCTCACCGGGCGTCCTCCCCCAAGCTCTCCCATCTCTGGACCTTCGCTCCGGCTGCGTCTCTGCTGATTCACACGTCACCACCACTCTTTTCCTGCCAGCTCCTGCCCCCCACTCAGGGCCTCACGTGACCCCTCCTCTAAGGCGTGCTCCTCAGGCCCCTTGCCACCCAGTCCTCTGTCAGACCATGTGTCTCTTTTCCTTCTGTAGCATGTGATTCGTGTGAACTGCCTTGTCCACTGACGTGGGGACTTTGTTTTCTAGACTGTCCCTCCCAAGCACGACTCGCTGGGCGCCTGGCACAGAGTAGGCATCAGGCGCTGAGTCTAACGTGAGGAGACACATGTGAGCGTCAGCTAGGGGTGGCTCGGCCAGGTCTGTGATTCAGGAAATCCTCTAGAGGGCGGGGAGTGAGGGCTGAGGGCAGAGTGTAGAGGCTACAACTAACACACAGAGTAGATCTTCCTCCAGGGCTGGCCAGGGCTCAGGGTTCCAGGGGGACAGCTCAGAGGCTGGCATGACGGCGAATAGCAGGCATCCACCAGATCTGCTTCCGGTCTGCAACGTCCAGGGAACACAAAGTGGCCCTGTCTAAAGCTGAGCGAGGCAGTCTCAGCAATGAGCAGGCAGCACCTGTGGGTCCTGGTGTCCCCTGGGCCATGACTCCTGGGGGAGCGAGCAGCCCTTCTGAGCATCTGTCTTCTTAACTCACTGGGGAAGTCTGGTGTCACCGCCATTGCCGGGACACAGACCTTACCCCCATAGACTGGGGCAGGACCTGTGTCTGGAACTGTAGTCAGTGTCATTCTGATACTCACATAGCAACTGGCTGAAATGGGCCTTGAGGCCAGGGTCCTGCTGGAGCCATGGCTGCCCCCACTCCCCATCAGTGAGCACTCCAGACCTTCAGATCCTGCACAGAGCACCCCCTCCTCATGCGACCATTGCTGTCACTGGACCTGGGCAGGAATGGACGTGGCCAGAGGCTCAGGGGCTCATGAATAGCTAAAACATGGAGAGCATTCTTCAGAGTCTAAGCTTTAATGAATTAAAAACAAACGAAAGAAAATCTGCTCCTAGATTCAGTGAGAACCTGGAAGCTGCCTCCATTGAGGCTGAGCAGCACCCAGCCAGCGAGGGCGTCTGTTTGCCTCCAGGGGACATGGGGATAAGGGACTGAGCGCCCTGCCCGCGTCTTGGCGAATGAGAGAGAGGGCCATGGAAGTGTATTCACTTGCTCAAGCAAACAGAGCCAAGCACCGTGCCCACGCGACGTGGCCTTCCACCCTCCTGGAGGCCACCCAACGTGGGAGAGACCTACCCTAAGGAGGCCGAGACCCGGGGCCGTGGCTTGCAGTGATTTGGGCTGTCACTGCTCTTCTCAGTCTGTGTCTTTCCCTCCCCCAACCCCAAATCAGGACTTGACTGACTGGTAAAGAAAGGTGTGTGCCAGCCAGGTCCACGAGCACAAGCCTGGGGTGCTGGTTCGTGCCTAAGGGAGAGGGGCCCCTGGCTGTTGGGGGGAGCGGCCTGCTGTCCTGTCCTGTCCTGTCCTGAGAAGAGGCGCATCCAGGGTGCCCAGGGGTCTGTTGGGAGTCCAGCTGCTTCTGGACTTCATACCCATGACCACTGAGGCCCCTCCCTGCCGTCATCCATAGTTCATGTGTGAATTGTTTTAAATAAAACAGGATTCTCCCGGGGGCGTGAATGATTAATTACACAATTATTCTATTCTGTGCTATTAATCAAAGATTCATCAGGTCTTGCAGAAAATTCCAGGTTCCCCACTAGGTTGGGGTTTTTTACAGCTACTTTGTAGTTTGTTTTACATCTGAGCAGTGTCATCACTGCATGGAAATGTACAAGCTCTTACTGTTAGCGACTCGGGCATTCATCTTGGGAAACCTCCTAGAACTCTATTAACATTAAAATGAAATACGCTGCCAAGCAAAGCCAGGGTGTGAAACCAGAGCCAGCTGGCTGTCCTCCTCCCGTGCTTCTGAGCCCCGGAGGATGCATCAGCTTTGCACTCTTCACATCCCTTGTCTGTGCAGGCTCCATCGCAGGCTCGTGCCCACCTATGAGAGCGCGTCCATCCGCCGCTTCCGGGAGGGACGGGTGGACAACATTCGATCGGCCACCCCAGAAGCACTGAGGTTTGTGAAAGCCGTCACAGACCACAAGGCTGCCGCGCCGGTAAGCCCCGCTCGTCTGAGGGGTCTCGAGGGAGCCGCCCCTTCGGCCTGCTCCCCACTGAGCAGCTCTCCACACCCACGGGCTTCATGTCTGGTCTGTGTGCAGGATTCCGAAAAGCTGCTGCTCCTGAAGAGTGCCATCCGCGCCCAGACGGAGTACACGGTCATGGTGAGTGCCAGTGCACAGGCCGGGGGGTGCCCGGGCTCTGCCATGCCTGAGCACGTGACCGTGGGCTGTGCCAGGACAGGCCCATAGCACAGGCCGGGTGACAGCTGAGTCACCGACTGTCCAGCTACTTGGAAGGTCACCTGCCTCTCGGAACCTCCTCCTCCTTATTTTTAAAGCCTAGGTAACACTCCACTCCTGCTTTCTACAGGGATTTCGTGAGAATACAATGAATGGTCTTTGAAACCAGAACAATAATAACAGCACCAAATATGCAGAGCAATTTCCACTTTATACAAGAGAAGTCGGATGCCAGGGGATTGCATTGGGCCTGGAAGCTGGAGTGGCCTGCACGCCCCGCACAGTCACAGGCCCGGCAGCATCAGCCCCGCCCACGGCTGATTTGCTTTCTTATTCTCCATGCTTTATTTATGCTGCCTGTAAATACGGAGTCAGTGAAAATTAATAGTGAAATTAAAGTTGTAAGGGAAATGTTTCCCTAGTTTAGAGAAATGATTTATTTTCTAGCTCTGCAAGCCAGCATACAAACAATGGAGAATAAGCGAGGGCTGGTGATCAATACATTAATTGCAAACCATTCTGATACAGCCTTTGAAAAGAAGTTGACCAGATTTCACTCTATGTCGTTGAAAGCAAGTGCAATGCAAATCTGGGTTTTAGAACTAGTCAGTGTAGACCTTGCTCCTCTTCAGCACGTGTATCCTCCAGTGTAGGTCCCTAATTCCTCCGAAGAGTGGAGTGTTTGTTCTGTTTGGGGAAAAGCAACCTCACTCTCAGGCATCCAATACGTATTTTTTGGTTTCTGCTTTATGCCAGATAGAGTGCTGGGTGCGGGGAAATAAAAAATGCAGTTTGTAAATCCCATTTCACTGGGGAGTTTCCTGAAGATTTCCTGGAGGAGGTGGTGCTTAATATGAGACTTGAAAGATGAGGTTCTTGTAACAGACATAGAACGGGAGGATGGCCCAGAAGGGAGCAGCATGTGCAAAGATAAAGCCGCGAGGGAACAAGACACTTTGGAGGAAAAGCAATGAGCTCAGTGTGTGCACATTGACAAGCCATTCTCACTCTTCTACTCATCTTTTCCGGACTTTATTCTCAGATATAAACAGAGAGCCACAAAACAGAACTAAGAAATTCATTGAGTTGAATTGGTTCAGGGCCCATGAAATAGCAGCCAAGATTCAGGAACAGATCTTTTTTAAAAAATATATTTTATTGATTTTTCACAGAGAGGAAGAGAGAGGGATAGAGAGTTAGAAACATCGATGAGAGAGAATCATCGACCAGCTGCCTCTTGCACACCCCCTACTGGGGATGTGCCTGCAACCAAGGTTCATGCCCTTGACCGGAATCGAACCTGGGACCCACAGGCCAATGCTCTATCCACTGAGCCAAACCAGTGCCGGCAAGAACAGATCTTAACACTCTCTGTCCTCATTCCTCGGGCTCCACTGGAGGCTAAAGCATTGGTTGTGGGGAGAGTCTGTGCAGTGCCAGCCTGGGCATCCCTCGCCAGCCTTGCATGGGCCTGGGCAGTCCCTGGGCCCTGCACTCGGCCTTCTGCCCAGACTCCTCCCCTACCCGAAAAGTAGGATGGCCAGGCCAGCACCTCCTTTCCCTTAGAGCCCTGAGGGGCTGTAATGGTACATCAGCAGGACCCCAGGAGGGGACTCTCCCTGGGGACATAAAAGTGCATGAGGGCCCGAGGAGCAGGGCCACATGGCAAAGCGGTCAGCCCGGGGCAGCTGCCCACACACTGCCCCCAGCAGGCCCTGCGTAGCCATGGCCACTGGAGTGCCGCTTAGCACTGTGGGTAGAGAGGAGGGGGAAGGCACGTGGGAGCTCATGCTCACTTCCTGTTCTTTGCTCCCGCCGCCCAGGCCATCACCGGGATGGCCATCGACAACCACCTGCTGGGGCTGCGGGAGCTGGCCCGGGACGTGTGCAAGGAGCTGCCGGACATGTTCACGGATGAAACATACCTGATGAGCAACCGATTCATCCTCTCCACCAGCCAGGTCAGCCCTGTGGTGCCCGTCGCCCAGGAAGCGCTCAGTGTCACGGGTGGGCTTTCTAAAGAGCCTGGGGAATAGGGCCCTGGCTGAAGGAGGGGGAGTCCCACATCTGAATCTCACGAGCTTCGTGACTTTCTGCAAAATGACCTAATGATCAGAGCGGAGAGGAGGCGTCATCTTCTAACTGACAGACGACCCCTGAGCAGAAGTGGACAGGACCGGAAGCACCCATTCTGGTGCCCTAACCATTACATTGCTGCCTGTCAGTCTGCTACCTCCCAAGCCCGGCAGGCCTGGAGGGAAGCCTGGCCCAGCCAGGTGCGGTGATGGAGGTGCAAAGCCCGCCCAGAGCCTGGCCGACAGGGCCCTCCAAGCGGGACCCGGCTATTGTTCTAAAGGCCGTGCGACCGCTGCAGGCCAGAGCTGCCAGCCCGGCGGCTCCCAGCAGCACCGCAGGCTTGTCCTGCGGAGGATCACTGTCAAAGACAGGGTGAAATCACTCCAGAAAGGCTGCCGTTTAGGAGAGAAAGTACCCCCTCCCACCCCCGATACATCAATTCGATAAAAGTCACCTCATCTGTGAAAGGCTGGCATGGGCGGTAACGGCGCGCATAGCGTGTGTGAGGATAAAAGCCAGGCAGTGATTTGATTTCCTCATTACTGCGGTGAGCTCACTGGCGTGGCTGAAGAGGGCAGAAACAACATAAATTCTTCAGGAAGCCGGCGTGGGCAACAAGTGCTTTGGCATGGCTTTCTGGCCTGCGGCTGCCGCCTGGCAAATGTATCTGACAAGGAGGGGACTCTATTAGCAGGACTAATGGTTCGTTCTGCCCGTTAAAAACAAAACAGAAAAAGAACAGTGTCATTTCCTAAGGCCTGAGCACACAGTGCCCAGACCTGCGGGTTTAAAACAGACCGCCCCGCACCTGCCCCCGAACGTGGTCCATTTCCCCCCAAGACACACTAATTAAGCCAAGGGGCCAAAGAGGGTTTTTTCCATTGGAAATGAGCGTTTATGACTTGAATGCCTTCAGAAACACATTTTCTGGGTTTGTGATCCAGATTACAAAATCTCGACGCTCTGAATTAAAAACATATTAGGTGCCTAGCTAAGTCTCCAATTGATGGCAAACTCTGAGACACCAGTGCTGGGTAACTGTGCGTGGCCAGGCCACGGGGGGAGGGATCAGACCGGCCACGCACCACCGACAGTAATTAAGGATGCGGGGATGGACAGAGGCGACAGGCAGGCTTCCTCCGGCTCATCAATTACCCGCTCTGGGAGGCCGCTGAGCCGGAGGGTGTCTCCGGGGGGCCATTTGGTAAATTACCCAGATTGCCTCGGTGCCTCCAACGGCCCCCAGGTGAGAGAGACTCAGCCGAGACCCAGCGGCAGGTGCGGCTGGCAGCGCCTGACTCCGCTCGCAGAGCAGATTTCACACCAGGGAGCGGCTGATGGCCCGCCCCTCCTGGCGAGATGGGCTTGTTGTTAGCACTCTGACCGTGGCCATCAGCTGACGCAGGTGGTTGGTTTGGTTAATTCAGTCAAACCCGCCCGGGGAGGGGGAAAGAGTCAGAGAAGCAAATAGCCCTCGGAGGCTCCGGGCCAGACGCCCTCCCTCCAGCAGGCTGGTGGCCTTCCGGAGCCAGGCTGCTGACCGGTCCTCTCCCCAGGTGCCCACCACCATGGAGATGTTCTGCTGCTACGGGCCCGTGGTGCCCGACGGGTACGGCGCCTGCTACAACCCCCAGCCCGAGAGCATCCTGTTCTGCGTCTCCAGCTTCCACAGCTGCCCGGAGACCTCCTCCGCCAAGTTCGCCAAGGCCGTGGAGGAGAGCCTGGCGGAGATGGGCCGCCTCTGCAGCCCGCCCCAGTCTGCCGCCGCAAGGGAGATGTGCCACCAACCGTGACTCCCGCCGCCACGTCCCCTCTCCCAGCCTAGCTTTCTGTAGCTGCCAGACCCTGCTGAACCCCGCTCCCACCCTCACCCCAGCTTTCCGCAGCTCCCCTGTCCTCAGGGCCCAGCACAGCACAGTGAGATGCCCCGGAGCCGAGGGTCTGCAGGAGAGTGTCCGCGTGGACAGGAGTGTCCTTAGCCACAGACGGCAGCCGGCCCAGCACTGACAGCATCGCACAGGAGCCCAGCCTGGCTCAGAGGGGCGGGCGAGGTGGGACGTGCACACTGACGCCCCTCCACTCGCTGCCAGCAGGACCTCGCATGGCTGGGTCATGTTTTTGCCCAACGGGAGGAAGAATGAGTCGCCTTTTTAAGTGCAATGTACCTCGTGAGTCATGAGGGAAGAGGCTAATCCAGGTCACTGCCTCTGCGGGGAGAAGTGGGGGCTTTGTTTTCAGATTCAAAGCGGTCTGATCATACACAGGGCCTGGCCGAGCTTGCATTTAGCAGGGTGCGCAGTCCCTCCCCGCACAGCCGGAGGTCATGCAAAACAGCGACCTGGACCCAGGAAGGCACTGCCTCTGCCTCCAGGGCAGCCTGCCCTGGGGCTCAGCTTCTGACCCGGCTACTCTGGAGGGAAACCCCTGCCTCCCAGGGCCCGGCAGTCCCCGGGAAACCCTCAGGCCAGGGCAAGCCGGGAGGGCCGATGCCCACGGACCCGGCTCTGCTGCTTTCTCACTCCCCTTCGTTCAGAACATGCCCCGCTGTGGGATCTGCCTTTTAGAGGAGACGGTTGCTCTGGGAGTTATCTGTTGTTTATTCATTTGCTTTATTCATCCTTAGAGAGGCTTTTAGGAGCACTGCTGTGACATCATTTCAAGGAATGATCTTGGTGGCCCAAGCGGGACATCCGTGGAGGATGCGGTCCAGGGATTCTGGCTGAGCCCACGGGGAGGGCCTGGGGAAGGGCTCTCGCGGTCTCAGACCCGTCCAGAGCCAGCCCTGAAGGAGGGGCAGACCGTCCACTGAGGCCTGGGTTTCGGGTTGAGGACTTGGTGGGAGATTCCGGCACTGCCACCGAAGTCACTGGTCTGCAGGCTCTCGCTCCTGCCCTCAGACATCACCTGCCTGCTCCCCGGGGAGGGGCAGCAAGTCTGGGGAGCCCCTGGAGCTGCTGCCCCACCCCCCCGCCACCCCCAGCCATAAGCAGACCCAGAGCTACTGGTCCGTTCTCACCAGGACCACCTGCTGACTGTGTTCTCTTCTGGTTTCCCTCCAGGGATTCTGGGCAGACAGGTCAGTGGCCGGGGCTCAGGGAGCCTGTCACAGGGACAAGCATCCCCAACCCCGTGAGGCTGGGCGGATGGTAGCTCCTGTGTGTGAGGCGCTTGCACAAGCAGGTGGGCGCTGGTGCCCACGGTCAGGATGCAGTGTCCCCAGTGGGCACTGTTCGAGGGATATTTATTTCAAACTTTTCTTACTGACCTGACAGAAGCAAACTCACACCGGCCACTCTGAGCTGAGGGAGGAGGCCGACTCTGCACAGTCAGGCAGCAGTGGCATGTGGGCTTCGGGGGGGTGTAGGGCCATGTGGCCGGAGGGTCCTTGCCTGGGAGGGCTGGGAGCTGGCCTTCAGCCTCCAGGCACAGGCGGGTGCACAGAGTCTTGATGCAAAGGCGACGGTGAGCCATGGTCATGGGCATCGCTGTGGGGACCCCGGAAAAAGAGACTTCCCCAGAGAGGTGGCAAATGAAACTGAGAGACAGTCATTTAGGGGGCAGTGCTGCATATAAAAGTGTATCTGGCCACCTTACAATACCGCTATGTTGCCAAAATATGTCATTATTTGAGTTCTATTTTTATAAGATAGTTTCAGATTTATGGCAATAATCACATGTGCATTTATAGCCTTTCCATTCTAAGTTATAGTTTTGTGCTTTAAATAAATATATATATATATGACTAAAGAACTGTATATTTAAACACTATATTCAAATCACTTTAAAGACTGTAAGTCTGTATTCAATAAAAAGCAATGCCAAGAAAGATGGTGTTGGCCTTTGTTTCTCCCCAGAAATGCTATTAAAATGTTGGCATAAGTCCTGTGTGCTGGGTCAGCAATTCATTAGCCTTTGTCTGAGGTCTGGCCGCAGCAGTGGTGGGGGTCCAGGTACGGGGATGGAGAGAGGGGGGAGGAAGGAGCTTTGTCTTCCCTGGTGAGGGGGTGTGGCACCCCCCCTGGGGCTGCTGCGGGGCAGGGAGGCTGCTGGGTGTTTGTGATCGGGGTGCTTGGTGTAGAGCTGGGACCTCCACTTAGGCTCGCACACGTGCAGAGATACAATGGAGTGAGGGAAGGCACCAGGCACGGAGGCGGGAGCCTGAAATAGGAACCCAGCTCTGTCTCTAACTTACCAGGGGCTCTCTAATCCTCAGTTTCCCCCTCTGTAAAATGGGGATGTTGAGATCAGCACTACCCTTTTCCAGGGTTGTGATGAGATGACATAAGATGGTCATTGTATGAAAACTTAGGAAGTGAAATAAAAAGCTAGCATTCTTATTGCAGGCTCACAGGAACCTGTGCACACAGGTGCCCTCCGCCTGCAAAACCCTGATACATTCCGAGCTGCAAGACCTCTGTAATCCTCAAAACCAGAACTGGAATTCCTCCAAACAGAAGCCCCGCACTCCCCAGGCAGAGCCTAAAAAGACCCTCAACGTGTATGATTTATGTGACTGGAATGAGGAAAAGGCATTATCCGAAAAGATATGGCTAGGATGTCCCAGGCGAATGGAATAGGAAGGCCCAGGATCTAAGTAACCTGGGTTTGCTCTTCCCCCACATATCACAACTGGCCCAGAAATAACCAGATGCAGACCACAGAGAAGGGCATGACCGTCAGCATACAAAATGTGCTGGACTCTCGTCGTCTCTGGCGAGGGCAGAGATGTTGGTCAATACATGTAGAAATGCAGGGAAGAGTCCTTCCCAGTTTCACAAGAGGAACCAGAAGTTTCCAAATTACTCCTAAGCAGTTCCCCCCGGGGGTCAGGTGGGAATCAGTGTCTGGTTTCCTGTATAGATTCGCCCATTTCCGGCTTTATGTCTCTGAGTTGTCCTTTAGAGTGAGCAGGATGAGCCATATGCCACGCAGGGAGAGCTGGCCTCCCACCGTGAAGAGGACCTTTCTCAAAGCTCTGGTCTCTGCTGACAAGGACCAGCTCTCTCCCAGTTCTTTTCCTACTGCTTCTTTCCACTCTGTGTGGAATTTCACTTCCTAGTTCTGTACCTTATATGTCATGGGCCCCAGGATTCTGTGTTTGGTCTCTAATTTCTTATATTAAAGGAGCAGAAAACTAGCCAGCTGAGCTGATGCAGACGGGTCCCTACCCCTATAAAAACCATACAAATAAAGAAAAAATTCTTTTAAACACATAGATCACTTTGAGAAAGAAGTCCTCACACGCCAGGAAAAAAGAGGGGTGTGCAACACAGAGCAGTGAGCAGGGGCTAAAGGTAAATACAACCAGACACAGACTTTAAGACAAAGGGCATAACCCCAGCCCCTGCAAAGTGGGAAATGCAGCCAAACTCCCCACGTAAGACTGTAACCTCAGAGAGACATCCAACCCTATATAAAGGATTACAAACCTCTTCCCGTCAACCCAGGGGAGCACTGAGAGACCATGCCATTCACTCAGAGCTGTGGGTAATGGAAAAAATACATCAATGAGAAATTAAACTATAAACTTGTGTCAAATGTGGGTGTGGAGTCTGAATTTATACAAGTTAAATGTAGAGCTGGAATTACAAGCCAATAATGTTCTTTAATTGCCTGGGTCAATAAGACCCAAAGGATCTCAGAAGAAGCAAATGCAAAACCACTTTCCACAACCACAAACACCACAAACACCCACAGGGGGAAAATACTCCATTAAAAATGACCTCATGATAAAAAAATACCAATGGCCTAAGACAATGTTTCCCAAAGTGTGGCACACGTACCCCCAGGGGTATGGGAAGAGTTTGGTGGGGGTACGCGTTGCACCGGAGTTTGGTGGGGATATGCACTGCACCGTGCTTAGCTGCGCCTAATTCTACGTTCTCATGAGTACGAGAGGTACTCAGCATTACGAAAATTATAGAAGGGGTACACATATGTCAAAAGTTGGCCTAACACTGGCCTAACAAATAGCTCACTGAAGGAAAAGTGGAGATAAAACAAACGGGAAAATTAACATCATAAAGACTAGAGATAATAGATGGCTCAAAAAAAGCTATAAAATTGATGTTTAACATTAAAAATAAATAAAAATAGAGAGAAGATACACGTAGGCATTCAAAAGGGAACCATTAGAGAGAATAGGGGTAGGGGAATGCAGGAGTACTGTCCAAAGAGAAAATGGCTGAGAATATTCAACAGAGAAACGCATCTTTCTAAACCTCATAGTTCAAAGAAAAAAATAATACAATTTTAGAATTTAGAGCAGAATGATAATAAAGATACCTCATATCAAAACCTCTGGAATATAACAAAAGTCATGTTTTCAGGGAATTTTTTTTTAATTTGAATAAACATTTATTACAAAAAAATAGTAGACTTAGATCTTAACATGTCCTCATATTTAACACGTTTAATATTTTCTTCTAAAATATCATAGCAAACATATTAACATATATAAAAAGCAGTTAAAAGATAGAAACACCATTCCAGTGAACATAAGACTTAAAAAAAAAAAAAAAAACAGAAACAAGTTTTTTAAAAAAAAGAAAATTTACAAAATTATACAAAACAGGCTGAACATAAAATACTGATATGCAGTTACTGAGAAGATACTGGCTTTAGTTATTTCCAGGTGATGGAAGCAGTCTGATATGTCAATCCAGGAAATATATGCAATTGTTGGCTGGCCTTAGAGGTACTACATATAAACATTAAAAAAATAGTCATACAAAACTAATAAACCTGGTAACTTCTCATTTACCAGATATTTTGAATACCTAAAAGATTTAAA